CGGCCTCCAGCGTGCGGCCGGACATGCCCCACCATCGGCGCCGCCCCTCGGAGTTGAGCCTTCCGGAGGGCACGACGCCGTTGGTGGCCTCGAGCTGTTCGGCGTGGCGGCGGCGGAAGTATGGCTCCCAGAGCGGGTTGTCGGGGACGTACCGTGGTCCTTCCCTCGCTGCCCGCGGCAGGGAGGCGCGGATACGCGCGATCTCCGCACGCCGCACCGCTCCGGTGGGCAGTGGTGGCATCGGGACCCCGTCGGCGCTGATTCTCCATGCCCCGGACACCCGCATGTCCGGCGGGACCGGGTACTCGGCCTCGAAGAGGAGCCGAGCTTCGTCCTCCTGAAGGTGGCGGCGGCCGAAGCCGTTCGCCGCCGCGCCGTCGCCTGGGAAGCACTCGGCCATGCTAACTGGAGACGGCGACAGGAGAGGGAAGAAGGGGGAGAAATGGCGCGTCGGCGGTGGAGACTCTGTGCGTGTCACCGGCGCGCCGGGGGTCGACTTATATAGGCCGAGGCGCCACGTGTACGCGTGGCCGTCGCGTGTACGCATGGCGGGCGAGGGGACGCGCGTCGTCCGGTCTTCACTGCGCCGCCCATGAGGCATCAATGAAGGCTGACCGGCACGGCAGCACGCGGCAGCTTTGGCATTGATTCGCCGCGGGAAACAAGGCGATGAGGACAAAGAAGCGGCGAGAAGAGAGACGAGTCGCTGGCAAGGAGGGCTCGCGGCTCTTTCACGCCAAAAACGATTCGCCCGGCGCCCCCGAGCGCGCTGGGTTCGGGTTGGGTCCGCCGACGCCAATTTTGACCCGAGCCGGCGAAAAATAGGCCCTTGGAGGCGCGACTGGGCCGATTTTTGTGCGCTGGCGGCCGAAAAATCGCCTGGGAGACCTTGTTGGGGACGCGGCTGGAGATACTCTAAAACGACAACATATCACATGTTCGCTCTTCCTCCGCGTCGTAGCCCCTCTGCTAGAATTAAAGTATGAAGGTTACTTCTGTGAATTCTTGCCGAAGTGATATTTCGTGGTCCTGCTGATTCATTATTAGCTTACTACTCCCTTTGTTTCAAAGTAATTGAAGTTATAAGATTCTCCTAAATCAAACTTGATGAAGTTTGACCAAGTCTATGAAAACATATGAACATCTTAATTTACTTGATTAGATTAATTATGAAATATGTTTTCATATTATATATATTTGATATCAACAATCTCTATGGATTTTTCTATATGTAGTTGGTAAAACTTTAAAAGTTTGACTTAGGAAAATCATATAACTTTAACTATTTTGACAAAGAGAGAGTACGATTTTGGTTATGGTTGGAAGATTGAACTCTAAGTAGTAAACAAAGAAGTGAAATTAGAGTGGAATCATTCAGTTCTTGTTGACGCTGGTGTAGTAGCATTGATATGGATTGAACCCATCTTGCAAAAAGGCTGCAAAGCCTTATAGGCAAATGAATGTAATTCAGGTGGGGGAGTCCCCCCCCCCCTCCTGCGTTGAATTTTTTTTAAAAAAAAGAGCAAGTCGAGTCCTATATCTTTGATGGTAAGATTAAATTATGAAATATGACATGCTACATATCCCATATGGTTAACTAGAGGCTATCGTGTGGTTCGCGTTCTTCACTTGTTGAATTAACTATTTTCTCTAACAAGTTATTACGGCCGGTTATTTTGTTCTGCACAAGCCACTGTACAAGCAAATTAAACTCTTCGTGCGTTGGCTTGGGTTTTAATTATGTTTTTTATTCATATATCATGTTGGGCTACTTTAGAAAATGATGAGGAAAATAAAGTGATTAGGTGGTGGTGGTTGTGGGAGCCTCTTGGAAGCTCTTATTTCATGTTGAAATCATGGATTGTTGTTATAATGCTCACATGGGCCGCCCCATGGATGTCTCGTTCGCTCAGCTCAGCTCCCTGCTCTGTTCGCTCGTTTTTTTTGCTTGCTCCACTCCTAGCTTAAGAAAAATCTACTATAGTTTTTATTTGAAGAAGCTCACTAAATTAAAGCAAGTTCACATTTAAAAAATACCTTGGATTTTAAAAACACTACAAAATTAAAAGAATGAGTTTTTAAAATATATTTGTGAATTTTAAAAATATTCATGTATTTAAAACAATATTCACAATGTGAAAAGGGTTTGTAAATTTGTAATGTTCAAGGACTTAAAAAAATGCTTGTGAATGTAAAAAATGTTCATGAAATCGGAGAAATATTGATAAGCTTATTAAATGTCCACGACTTTTGATAAGTATTCATGAATTAGTATGCGAAAAATAAAATATGGAAAATGGAAAACAACCAGGGATAAAACCAAAATAGTAACTTTTAAAACCGCTGAAAAATACAGAAAAGAAAGAAAAAACAAAATACCATGCAATACCTTCTCAAAACCGAAAAAGACAGTTGGCCCACCGACACACACCCTTGCAGATGGCCCGATAGCATCCCCATAGCCCCCGATGCACCAGGAGGATCCAAATCTAGAGATAAGATTGAGACAACCCTTTGTTCTTATGAAAGAAAAACCATTGTACATCACTTTTTTTTTTGCAATCTCTAAATTTGCATGGTAGAATAAAGATAAGGTTGTCTTATCGAGTAGGGGTGGAACTGACAGTGGATAATCCGAAATGTTCGATATTCGTACTCGAGAAAATGCCTATTCGTATCCGAAACATCCACATCCGAACTAAAATGGAAATGGTATCCGTATCTGGATTTATTTTTAGAAAAATATGATATGAGATTTTGACACTAATATGGATATGAAAGTGGATATATCCGTATCCGAATAAGATTATGGGATGTAATTTTCAAAATTCTACCACCAATATGCTAATTATCCAACATACAAAAGCCAAATAAGTGGTCAAATTTTACTCTTTGTATGATTAACCTTAGAAATTATTATGCAACATAGTAGTATTTATTTATAAACTATTTGTCATTGACTTATTGTATGTCGCAAGTAGATTATTTCATGTCACATAGCTATCGACTAATTTTCTTAAGCAATATGTCCCTATTATTTGTATCCATTCCGAATGGTGTAAACATCCGATATGTATCCGTATTTTAGTAACACCTGATCCACATTCTTATCCGATAACATTCATATTCGCATCGTACTCGTTTTGGAAATATGAAAATGGAAGTGGTAAGAGCAATATCCGATCGGCCGATCCATTTCCACCCCTATTATCGACCCATGTACATGCCCAAAGGACTCTTAGTATTAGGTGCGATCCCATGAAAAATCCTAAGAGTTGAAGTGGAGAGGCCATCTCAATCCTTTAATTTTCTTATTTCTTTGTTTTGAAAATCCACCGAATGAGCCCTTAAACTGTCGATGTATATGCAGGCCCCACATATGAGGCCTGCACTGTTGTCTTTCCATGGATAGTCAACACTTCTTATCTTCACGGTGCACTATTTACGTGCAAACATTTGTAGTTTTACACCATAGACCATAGTACCATACAAAGCTCTTGCTCACTTGGCCGCCAGCGCGCTAGCTTCAATTAAACCATGTCGTCGTTATCTTCATCGTCCGCCTCAGCCTCGGCGCTGCCGCCTCACGTGGTTGAGGACTGCCTCGGCGTCGTGCAGCTCCTCAGCGATGGCATGGTGATGCGTCCCACGCGAAGCTTCCTTTCTGATCCGCCAGTGCATGACGTCCGCCGCGACCTGTCCGTCCAGTGGAAGGACCTTGTCTACGACGAGGCCCACCGCCTCCGTCTCCGCATGTACAGGCCGACGACATCCATCGGCCTTACCGGCGGAGGCGAGAAGAAGCTTCCGGTGCTTGTCTACTTCCACGGCGGCGGCTTCTGCATCGCCAGTTTCGAGCACCCCAGCTTCCATGCCGTGGCCCTTTGGATCGCCCACGACCTCCCGGCCATCGTGCTCTCCGCGGACTACCGCCTCACCCCCGAGCATCACTACTAGGAAAAGGCCTGCTAGCGGCGCACCTGTTTTGGCTACTAATGGCGCACTACATGTGCGCCATTAGTATCTGCTATACTAATGGCGCACACGGTGCGCCATTAGTATTGCCTTTCAGGGGCCATATTTACTCATGTGCTCTGGCTTACTAATGACGCACTTGTAGATGATGCGCCATTACTAACAAATTTTTTTCAATTTTTTTCAGAACTTTTTTTCAAAAAAAATCAATTTTTTTTTGTTTTTTCTTAATCTCAGGTCACTATGGCTTTATCTCGAGTCAATATGCTTAATCTCAAGTCAAGTCACACTCCATGGTCAAACTTCCCAAAAGGTCACCCATCCTCACACTACTCCAGCCCAAGCATGCTTAACTTTAGAGTTCTATCCAACCCAAGCACCAGCTCACTTAACACACACTTGTTGATATATCGAGCATATCAATCCTATTAAACCTTGTTGATGTCTAGGACTTTGTTCATGTTCATGCGTGTGATGAAATTTTGAAAAAATATTTCAAACTTCCGTTCATATTACGTATCATATTTTGAAAAAAATTCCCCCAAAAAACCGGAACTATTTTTTTCTGTTACTAGTGGCGCACCTAGCAAACGGTGCGCCACTAGTAAGTTTGAATTTTTTTGAATTTTTTTGCCTCTAGACCTTGAAAGCCCCATAACTTTTTTTCTGTTAGGTTTTTGAGGATTTTGAAAAATGTTTAATGGGGTTCCCCAATTAAATTCGGATGTAACTTTTTGAGTAGATGATTTTTCATATAAAAAACTTTTTAATCCGAGTTCGTATGCAAAAGTTATGCCCATTTTACAAATTCCAGAGAGATTTTGCAAATAAAGTCGAAATTCATATTTGTAAATTTTCCCAACAACTAGACCACATATCACATGAAAAACTTATTTTCTTTTATTTTTTGACATTTCCATCATTTTCTTT